AAATTTTTTTAAGTCAAAAGAAGTCAAATCACAAGAAACACAAAGGACTTTTTCAAGTGACAAGGCCTCGAGGGCGAAAATAAAACCTTATTCCAACAGTAAATACAAACAACAACTATCATGCTAAACAAAAGGAAGATGGTGACAGTTTGAGATTATGAGAAGAAAAGAGTCACAGAGTTTATCCCCAGAGAATTCTGTAAATTGCAAAATCTGTGTAACTTCGGACAGAAAGAAATGCAACAATATGCAGAACATGAGATTACACACTTGTAAATTAAAGCAGCCAATGAGTGTTGGTTTGTATACCAGTGGGTTAATGGAACTGTCCAATATGTGACAACAAAGATATTTTATTTACAAACTTGTTATAGATTGTCATGATGATTTAGATTTAGATAGATGATGGGTTGGTGGGTGGAACACAGGCCTAATGTACAAACAATCCAGTGGAAACTCAATATTTACATTTGTTTGATAATGTACATGTTCAAAATTAACACGGTGAAAACTATACTGTGACATTTTTTATAAGATGACATGACAGTAAGTGCACATTTCTTATATTCATCTTAAAAAGTTACATTTGAAAAATGCAAATAAAGATAAAAAAAATCTGCAGATAAATAATCTTCATATTTGTATATAAATGATAGCCTGACACACTGTGCTGTGTCCTTCTGACAACGTAATGTGTGAGAGAGAGAGAAAGAGCAGCCTACACGTCTCTCTGCATTTCACTATGTGATTTCATGATTTTGTGCAGTTGCAGTTTTAGTTGCTTCTGCTCCGTCTGCTGGTATTTCAGTAGTAACTTGTGGCTTTACTGAGTCTGAGAAAGATTGTGATTTTGTTTTTATGCCAGACAATATTAATCATGAACTCAGTCATCTGTAGCTTTTAGTGTTGGTGTAGTGTAATTTTTTACTTCTCCAACAACTCTTCATCAACCCCAGTGTAACAGAAGTGACCAGAGGAACTGCTGAGTAATAAAACCAGGGTCACACCCTCTCTATGAGGTTTTTTTCGAGAGCTGTTCACAGAAACTGGGGGCAGTACGGATGTTTCAATGTGTTTAGTGCATTAGTAATCCAGTCTATCTTAAAATACTAATTTAAGTTATTTCCTGATTTCCGAAAAGTCTGTAGCATCACATGACAATTTAATTTAGCTGTTCTCAAAAACACAGAATTGGCACTCAGTTGAGTGCATACCCCTGATATGGTCTGTGAAGCTCTTATAATAGAAAACTAAAAAGGAAAAATTAAGTAGTCAGATAAACTACCCCACATTGTACAAACTCACACAGCTCAACACCAAATATATCTTATTTCAATATATTACTTCCTGAGAAATTGAGGAAAATATTGAAAAAGTCCCCATCTCATAATATTGAGAAATAAATTCTAAAAACTGCTGCATCTGCTCCTTTAATCAGATCATCAATATTTAATTCTCTTCCCTTGGTCATGACTCATCCCTCCTAAAAGCATAGAGTAAATCGCTTCACTATCTTCTGGACTTTTTCCGGATTTGTTTGTCTTTCACACATGCACAGCTCGGAGAGGGTTTCTCTGCTCTGACGCACAACACATACATCACCTGAGCATTCAGGTGAGGGGTTGTACAGAGCAGGCAGAGGCAGAATGTAACTTAGAAATTCTCCTGTAGCGATCAGGTGTTTTGTTTACAGCCCATCGACACCAACGTTGGCCCTCATCAACAAATGCTCTCTTGTAATCTTCGCCAGTGTCTTCTATGCATGTGGTGCTTTTTCATCCAGATATACTTCTTTTTTGTGTTTTTAGAAATGCCAAAACACCCACCCACTCTTGCTGAGGATCTCTCACATCGGCTCCTTCAGACATTCTGCTTTTCCTTGGGGACTGGCTGGAAAGTCAGCAGAAAGTGGGACATTTGCATTTACGCACACAGCGCCTCTAGAGAATGTTTGGAGGATCTCAGGAGTTCAGTGCACGTCTGAAGGCAGCTATAACTGCAGTTGTTTAAACATGCCAGATTCTTTCATTGACATCCATGATTTATTCTCTGGGATATTGGTGAAAATGTCACTGCCTGGAACCTGATTCGGATCGGCACCAAAATTGAATGATTTCTTCACCGACCCATACCACTTGGCTCCTTCCACCAAGTTTCATGGTAATCAGTCCAGTAGTTCTTGCATAATTCTGCACTCACACATAAAAACAAGCAAAGAAAGCTTTTTACCATGGTTTTTACCATTAAGTGAATTTCAGTCAATATTGCCA